AGGTAGCTTTTCTAGCTTTTCTAGATTCTTCCTCTATTCCAGGCAAGTTAAGCAACGGCGAGCCTATATAACCCTTGGATGGGTGACCGCTTCACGTTACAAGACCGACACTGTTTGCACTTAAGGCTCACTTAGTTGACCTACACTCAAACAGTGAATATGCCTGATTAAGAGTGAACTATTTAAACCACAACAGTAAAACAAAATCTTAAGCTAATAAAAAAAAATTACTGATATACAAAACCGATATTTAGTCGCCCGCGCATCACAATGCTTAGAGCGTTTGCTTTAGAGGTGCAAAATTTGTACGCTACCATTTGTATTATAAATATGAAACATCACTGTTTGACAATGTGCTTATCAAAGTTTTTTCTTTCTTTTTTTTTCTTTTTCGTTGCTTGTTTGATCTGAAAGTGTTCCTCAACTAAAAAAAAATGGTTATACACTTAAATTTAAAAAAAAAAAAAACATGTATACCGCGCTAAACATTTAATATGAAGGCAAATTTTAAAATTCATTTTTCAAAGTAAATTTACATAAAAAGGACTTTAAACAACTTTATTTGAATTTTTATTTAATAAAGTCTGTATTGAGATTGCATTCCTTAAGAAAGAATTGGTAAAATACTACGATTGTGTTATTCAACGCCTATAAATGTTAAACATATATCAATTAATGACTCAAGATTCGAGAATTTAAAAAAAATCCTCTTGAATAAGGGTTGACTTCAGACTCATTTACTTTATCATGATCTATATCTTTGCTTTTAGGCATCTTTTTTTTTTTTTTTTTATTATTCTCGATGGTTGAATGATACAATCAAGAGCAGAAATATGGAAAGAAACATATATACAAGTTCCAGATAGCTCATGAAATTCAATAATTTGAAATAATCATATACTTTTTGGGGGGAGGGGGTTGAGATACGTCTTTTTATTTGTAAGTCATATGCGAAATTTATACTTGATATGTAACATACACATTAGGTATTGATGAAATGTTCTACATTCCTTTCCTATAGATTCTTTGATCTGATTAATACAGAAATAAATAAACAAGCATTTTTTTCGAATCGTGTTTTAATTTAGCTTATTATCAGATTTGAAAAAAAAAGAGTTGTTGAAATAAAATGAAAATAATTTCTTTTAAATATCTGTTTTGTTTTTACTATTATCAAATCATAGATTCCACACCTTTTACAAATGTGCTTAGCCTAACAAACACACTGGATAGAAACATAAGAGAAAGCCAAGCACCCTGGATTTATTGACTCATTACAGGTCACCAGTATTTGCTTATTTAAATCTATTATTGATTTCAAAAAGAATTGAACTCAATTTTAGAAAGAAATTTTGGTAATCCAACTTATACTCATAGTTCTCCTTCAAAATAATTCTTCAGAATCATGTTCAGTTTAAAACATTCCAGTCAATAGTAGTCATATAAATCCTTACAAAGAAAGATAATTTGTAGGGCCCAGGAAAGGTCAATGTCCTTATTCTTTCTTCTTGCCAAAATATTAATTGCTGTGAAAGATAAACTTCAAACAGTGTTTAAAACATATTCAAGAAGTGATGTCAATGCACTTTACTTCAGATAATTTCATATTTTCTTACAGAGTAAAGAAAGGGGGTTGATATAACAGAACCAATCAATGTATCTTTGCAAGGGTTTTTTGAAGTTTAGGTACCGTAAATTCAATTCAATTCCATTGACTTGAACGCTAAAAGTATTAAAAATTGAAGAATTTCATCTTATGAAAGGGAACAATGAGTACAAGTTGGATTTCCAAATGCTTGCATTCAAACATTATAATTCTTCTAAATGCTTTTAGATAATGATCTTTACAAGCAAAAATATGTAGTCTAATAAAATGAAATAATAAAATGATAAAAAAAAAAAATTTTGTGGCTTGCAATATTCTCAAGACCCCCAGATGGTGGCAGGAGTGAGTGGAGTTAAATGAACTTACCATATACAATATTTTGTTTAGTTGAATCTTTTACATGCATGCCCAAATTATGAATAGACTGCAAGGGTATGATACCATTACCTTCTCCCATCTGCTGAGGGTTGGACAGTCTACTGTGGATTGTGTACAAATGATTGTGTGGCATGTAGCGATGGCTGAGGAGCTGATTGTGGAATTTGTACAGGCAGTTGTGGAGCTTGAATAGGTGGCTGCAGTGCTGGTTGTGGGACTTGGAGAGGTTGTTGTGGAGCCTGTAGCACTGGTTGTAGAGCCTGTAGCGCTGGTTATAGAACCTGCAGAGGTTGTTGTGGAGCCTTAAGCGCTGGTTGTGGAGCCTGTTGCTCTGGTTGTAGAGCCTTAAGCGCTGTTGTGGAAAAGATCCTGTAGAGGGGGAGCCCATATTGGATGTTGTGAAGCCTGCCCACATGGCTCTGAGGCCGGTAAAGATGGCTGTTGTGGAGCTTGCTGCGGTAGATCAACCTTACATGTAGGAGGGGACCCTGTCTTGCTCTTTTGGAGGGTGCTCTTGTGGGCACTGTTCCTTCGTCTTGTCTGCCGTTTGCGTGGCATGATTTCCTTGAAGTGATATTTTACATGCAAAAGAAGGAGAAAGGTTAAAGTACAAAATGTATGTAACATGTAAAACATGAAGATAAATCATAGTAACGTAGACTTATGTTGTCACACAGTGCCCTATACCTAAAGCCTTACCTTTCTACTTTGAATTGAGTTGCTTAACGAACAAAATGTATGTGAAGTATGATTTTATAAACAATTTAATGATGTTTTAGTTATTTTTTCCATTAACGTTATAGAGAAGATACTTTATTTGCTGAGGCGAACTTATTGTTAAAATTTGAAAGATGCAACAAATAAGAAACAACGTAAAGAAATGTGACCATAAGCCGATGTTAACCCATCTGACAAATGGTCAAGTTTCGTCCGGTTTGTTGATCCCCTAAAACTTTTCCGGAGCCCCAACCCGACTTTTTTTAAAAATAAAATCTAAATATTACATATAGTGTCAAAATAGCAATATATTCACAAGATGATGCCCTTAAACATCCAAGACAAGATACGACCCACCCTCGGCCCCGAAAAATAAGCGATACGATGAGGTAATTTATCAGAATAGTATAATTAATTTAGTGTAATTCAGACGTTAATACCAATTATACTTCTGTGTATATGTCACATGGTTGTCAAGAAAAAATTGAGAGAGAGAGAGAGAGAGAGAGAGAGAGAGAGAGAGAAAGTGAGCCAATATGCTGATATGGCGACACCAATAAAAACGTGGTTGAGCTTTAACATGCCATCTAATGTCATCGATAATTGTTGTGTACGACAATGTGAAATTACTTTCTATTTCCACCATTGAAGAGTTATAGTTCTTAATGCGCTCTTTAGTGAAAAAGTCGGAAAATGTATAAATCTCGCGGGGATTTCTGGGACAATCGTAAAAACAATGCAATCATTATGTTGAATGTCGATGAAAAAGCGACTAACATGCAAATAAGACACTGTATTGCTGTGGACTTTACATGCATCAGAAGTAGAAACGACAACGATATCAATCTATTACAGAAAGTTATTCACAAGACTAGTGTTGACGGTCCTTCTCCAAATACAATGCATCGATACATGTACATACCTCGGACACGTCGTAATTTTATCAATGGATGATAAATTCAGGTCTTTCGAACTCTTGCATATGATTATTAGTTCTCGTATTTTGTAATGGGAATGACAAATACATTTAATATATAGAATCGGAGATCGACATGTATTCTAGCTCCGCTACGTCATGCTTGTCCCAGTCAGACGACCAAATACGCCTATAATTTTAAGAGTTCCAGTAATGGAAATAGAAAGTATTAAAACTAAGTTAATTCAAATTCAGGTATTATTTCTTGAAAATGATTGGAGATTTTGATTTCAACTTGAAATGAATAAATTGCACCATCCTTACTGTTGCAGTGATTGAAGAGAAAAGGGCGATTAATTTGAGTGTGCATGATTTATATATATCTAAGGGAGATAACTGGCTACTAGCTAGGAAAGACAATTGTATTTGCACTCCTTCGATAACTGCATTCTATTCCTACATTCATAGGAAATAGATGCACAATTATATTCCTAATTATGTAACAGGTGGTGGCTTAAAGGGCATTGCTTGACAACATTCAAACACTAGGTACATTTGCTTTTTGTTGAATAGTCTTTAAACGTTTGCTTTAGCTAATCTACGACCGGTCTTCGTCATTATCTGAGAATAGAAGTGAAATTAAATGACTTACAATTGAAGGATCTTTAATTTCTGATCCCAAACCTAAAATAAACAAGCCCTTAGAAAGCAATGCCAGTCAGTATGCAAACTTAGAGCTGAAACAACAATGAAATGAAATGACCCTCTCGCCATATTTTTTTTTCCATTTAATATGTTCCTTGAAAAACATTTGGATTCCTGGAACTCTTACTGTTTTTAACTCAAGATATTCGGGGAAATAAATATCCAATATAATAAGAATGTGAAGATATCGAAAAATGATCAGGATAATTATTCAAGAATACAATATTGATCGATTGAATAATATAGAGAACAGGTGCACGAATCAGGTGTCATGGAGGAGATAACAGCACCCCATCTCTCGTTGATCAGTCTCACATGCTGAAAATCCTTTGTCTTGATCAAGTCAATATACTAGTACTGTAAATAATATGCAGCAGTAGGAATGTATAGCATTCCAAACGATTGCAAAACATTATGCTAAAATTATCGAGTTTATATACATGTATTTCTAATTCGTAAAAGGTCTGAAAAAATGCATTGCTACATGTACAGAAATTTTAAGAACACTGAATGTACCTGTAGTAAGATAAATTATATATATGTTATATTAAGTTGCTGCTACAGAAGTTTTTCCTCCCAAAATATATCAGGATTGGTCCTTATTCAGGGTATATAGTTTATGATATGTTTATACATGCCCTTTATGAAATCTTAACATTCCAATTTGATTTCCCTTAGCCAATGCATGTGACAGCCATTTGGTAAAAAATGTAACAGACGATAAACTTACTGCATCCAGTATCTACAGCAATGACTATCCACCCTTTAAAGCCAGACTGTCTAATGCAGAAGGATGGAGTCCGAAGGAATCCCAGCTAAATCCCTGGATACAGGTAAATATTCATTAACGGACATGTCAAAAGAAATACTCCTCGAACGTTTTGATTATTAATAGTTTGCATTAAATAAATATTGAGTGTGAATATAAAAGATGAAGATAACGAGCAGTGAACAGTCCATGTACTCGAGCACTAGAGGGTTTGGAGTTATCTGAAAAAAATATAGTGTCATTCAAGATCAGCTGACATTACAACAAATGTTTAGAATAATGATGTATGTACATCTTGTAATGCGTGAAAGAAAAACAAAATTAACGTGAAAACATTTTAAGAAAATCACCTTTTTCCCCATAAATGCAAATAAAAAGTATTCATTCCCTAGCTACCTCCTCAGTCTTTTTCATGAAAATACATGTGTTTAGGTCATTCTTCGATTGATAATCATTATGACAAATCTTTTCACCAATTATATTACTTTCGTGATTATAGTTCGTTATTGTCGTATATTTTCTTCTGAGAGAGAATATTAATAATTCATTGTGTGTGGCTGTGGTTTTTTCCTCTCTTTTTTAAATAACGGAATGGTTATACAACATCTCTGATAGTAAGGTTTTTTTCCGAGCTCACCGGAAAGGTCTGAGAAGATGCGATGACAATGTCATCTCACTTGTGTAGACCTAGGCTATTTGGTCTTGCAAATACAGGTGTGTGCACTGTTTGCCATTGACGCTTCGACTGGTGACAGTATTTGCTACGGACATGAAGCACTCTACACCAGTTTCATAACAATTGCAGTTCCTTTCTCTTAGAAATCATCTGAGCACAGTGAAAATTTGGGTACCTGTAAAGTGCGAAACGAAATAGAAACGAAACGAAACGAAATCTACCGGAACGAAAGGAAACCTACCGAAACGAAACGGGAACCTGTAAAATGTGAAACGAAATAGAAACGAAACCTACCGAAACGAAACAAAACGAAACGAACTCAAAATGAAACCTACCGAAACGAAACGAAACAGAATGTTTTACAAATCAAGGTATATCATTATCTATAACGTGTAACTGTATATGGACTTTTTTTACTTCATATAAAATTTATATAGTTCAAGCACTTGTTAATATAATATTTAAACACTGATAAATGCTCCCTTCTCTAGTGATGTATTTACTTATACATGCATATATATACTGTAAATCAACTGCCAGCTACAAATATGCACGAGCATACTATATAATTTCAAAATACTCATTTCAAAATAAGCGTAGTATTCTCTAATTTTTATGTCTTACTTTTATTTTTAGCCTTTAACCATCGAAATACAATAAAGAACTATATACGGTAAGGGCGTATTCCTGCCCCCATAATAGTCAAATTTTGAAAATCTCTTGAAATGAGAAAAAGTGCATATATTGTATAAAATAATCCAAATTAAGACAATATATTATGAAATTGGAAAAATTAGCTGGCTTTTCTTGTCTCTGTGACGTCACAAACTATTTGGATTTCCGTTATTTTTAAAATAGAGGCCAAAATGCACAGAGTTTGTTCAATTTTGACTATAGTTTTTATAGAGCGCAAGCTTGCTCAAGTACCATATTCACATATTTCATTGATATTATCATTCTACACATTATATCAAAAGATCTAGTCTGAGCAGACCTGCGCTCGATAATTTCCAATCAAAATACCGACGTAAAATACGCTATTTTCTCTCAAAATCATTGCAATTTGGAATTTACGTCATTTTATTGACGTCATATCTAACTAATGATGTCATAGTTGATAAAAATATTTAATGCTTTGAAGTCTGCAAATATCCACCTGGTTTAGAACATAATTAAAGATTTCTCCATCAAAGTTTTATTTTGGGGGCAGATACTGGCCACTACAGAATATAGTCCTTTCTCATAATTGATGTGCTACATGTAAAAGCATTTCTATTTACGTACATGTATCGAAATAAAGTTACTGTATACTGTTGTATTGCGAATGTCTTTAAACATAACTTAAAACAAAAAAAACTGTACACATTGAGTTAAATGAAAAAAAGTGCATTACTGTTATTTATGCATATGTGATCAATTATACAAAGCCTAATTATTATTATACTTTTGATTATTGTCGGGTCCAGCTTTTTTTTTTATTTTTATTTGAGAGGTAGTTCCGAGAAGGACCCCCCCCCCCTCCTCTGGTGGTTTCAAGGCTTATGTTTTCGTTGGTTTATTATATAAAATTAAAAATAAAATTTTACAGGTACCCCAAAACAACCTCGTTGTTAAAAAATATTGCGAACGGGAGTACGTGTATTTGGGAGAAAAAAAGTGGCAACATGGGTTGTTTTCATTTGCAAAACGTCATTTTTGGTAAAATGGTTTTGAATAAAAGAAGGGGGTCGATAGCTCTTATTCATTTACATAGAAATTATAATAATTAGTAGTCAAGAATGAGAGAGAGAGAGAGAGATAGAGATGTGAAATTATGCAATAGCTTGGTCATCTGAAAGTCTTATCACTGAGCCTTTCTATTGGTATTTTATTGTTTAAATGATCTGATAAAAATTGAATTTTAATTTCGATAAATGTATGCTTTGAATTTAATTTAAATTTGATGTTGCAATTTTACCGTATTATTTTTTTTAAAAAATGCTTATCCTCCGCTTTCAAATTACTGTTTATAAAAGTGCGTGATCTGATATAGTTTGGTGTTGGACAAAAGCAGACTAAGAATCGCCAGGTCTCAAAATCTAATTTTGAGTATACAAGTATACATACAAATGAACTGTATTAACAAGAACCCGAAAGTGATAACTTGGGTTATATGTATAGGCTTAGTCTAATGTGTTTGTTTTGCACTAAAATGAGCAATATCTATTTAAAAGTGTAATCCATACTTACAAATGCGCACGTTTAGAAACGCACAAAATCTTTTTTATCTTTCACTGCGTATCAAAAGAGACTCGTTACTTATCAAATATACACTATATAATATATTTTAAAGCATAATGTTTATATATATATATATATATATATATATATATATATATATATATATATATATATATATATATATATATATATATATATATATATATATATATATATATATATAATTTTTGCTCGATTTTAATTCATTTTTTGTTTCTGTAGTTTTCTTTTCGTTTCGGTAGGTTTCGTTTTGATTTCGTTTCGTTTTTGTTTCGTTTCGGTAACTTTCTTTTTGATTTGTTTCGTTTCGGTAGGTTTCGTTTCGTTTCATTTCGTTCCGTTTCGTTTCTATTTCGTTTCGCATTTTACAGGTCCTTGTGAAAATTTGAGTAAATTAAAAGTTGAATATCTTGTTACAACGTTAATTCATCCATGGGCGAGTTCACTGGTTATTCTGAAAGGTGGCACAGGTTAACCTTTCGTAAACATTTTCTACAATGATCTGCCCACTTTGAGTGATAATACTTTCATAGCAAAATTGTTAAATGTTATCTCCAATTGGCCTATAGTTTTGTTATTTAAAAAACAGGGGGCTATTTCGATACTTGTAATCAATAACGACTGGGACTTGACATCTGTTCTGGATTCTATCATTGGAAAGATAGATGGTACACGTAAAGCACAGATATGTAGTACGCAGAATTTTTTTCCGGAGCCCCCCCCCCCTCCCTGGAAAAACGTTGCTACAGACCTGTATCAAGCTATATTTGGATTGCTGTATATCAAATTATTTTGCGAGCCTTGATGCACAAAACTAATGCCGGTGAAGAATTGATCTTTAAAACCTAGTTGTCTTTTTTATTAATAAGTTTTGAATACAAGTTGTTAAGCTATCTATATAAGTTCTTCCAACTTTTAAAATGCTTGAACCATAGAATGTTTAGTTTGTATATAAGGGAATAGGTATAAAATAGAAATTCGGATCTTGGATACGCCAATGAATATATAAATATGATGTGCAGATTTTAAGCAAGGTTTGCCAATAATTGGCATATTCTAATTCGAATAGGGCGAATTACTCTAAGGGCAAGTTGTCCTAAGGGCGAACTCTCTAGCATTCTCGCGCATGCTTAGCCTGACGTAAGCCCATGGTATAACCGGTTTAACCCCGCTTATATATTTTCTGCGTGGACCTCAGGGTCCACGCAAATATGCAATATTTACACAATTTATATGGATACAAGTGATGGACCTTTTGTAAATTGCAGAATGCTTGTGAAAATAAAGAATTGTTTATTTCACAGGTAGACTTTGGAAGAGGAATGGTGATAATGGCGGTGCTGACAAAGGGAATGGGCGGGTTTAGCGAATGGGTGAAAAAATACCAAGTCAGATACAGCAATACAGGTTCTACATGGGCGGTATTGCAATATGGCTCTACTAATGTATGTCAAAAGTACTTCGTATCTTTTATTGTCCACTAGGTCAGATAAAATTCTCGTCTTTTCTTAACTAAAAACGATTAAGTTCATATTTTCAAATCAGGACTATTTTTGTGTGGCCTGCTGAGCAGAGCGTCTGTCTGTATTACCTTATATCTTGAAAACTTAAGAGGTATAGATTTGATATTCTGGAAATGTATTGCTTGGCACTGTGGCTCTTGCAAAATACCATGGTTACTAACCTTGTGACCTTTCAATTTGATTTTTAACCTACTTTTTTACAATAAAGCATAATGCCGATATACAGCATATTTCGGACATTTGAGAGGTAAGTCTGTGCTAAGATGTACACTGTTTGTCATATGACATTATGAAAAATACCATCGTTACTAGGGATGCGCGATTTTATCGGTATACCGGTATATCGCAATTTTTTATTGCATGATACGTATCGTGATACGGAGACTAAAATACCGGTATTTGGTACATAATTATAAATTCCGGAAATTATTCATTTATTTAATCAAACTATTGAATGACAATTACAGGAAGTGTAAAAAATGTTAAAAACAGTTGAACAATGGCATCAAAACATGCTTTATATTAAATAAATAAAAATTCAAAAAGTTAAGTTATGTTTTTAGGGCATATTTTCTAGAAATTTTACGGAAATTCATTTGAAATTGTAGTAAAAATTGTGTGTAAAAAATCACGATTTATCGTGATATTTATGGGAAAAAATCGTGATATATCACGATCCGAAAATTTTGCCGATACCCATCTCTAATCGTTACAGTCCACTTGATCTTCAATTTTGACCTACTTTTCAAAAATACTCCTCCAACCGGTTAATTTAAGAGAACGATAAAAAATAGTATAAGCAGATTATCGGGCATCACATGAAAGAATGAGTTTTATACATGTATCAAGTATGTGTCATAACACTGACTTAACGGCTACCGAGGCTTGATAAAGCATGAAATATATGGAGATAACGAACAGTATTCAAGCTCAAAAGTCCATCAAACATTACAAAATAGGTGCAGAGCAAACACGGACCTCCAAAACATCAGAGGTGGGATCAGGTGCCATGGAGAGTGAGCATCCCCTGCCGACCGGTCACACCCGCTTTGTGCTCCTTGTCATGATCGGGAAATAACGGAAAAATCCGTCGACAATTCAGTGTGTAAATAATGGCCGAACTATTAGTATGAAAAACGTCAGTCAGCATTTGACTCAATGATAAATTGTATTTGCTGACAAGATCATTGTATCGACCATAGAACTTACGAAATGATGACTACAAAGACTGCTGATATTCTTGTTTAATCAACTTGTTTGTCAATAATTTACCTCGTTTTAGAAATTGTACATACGTAGAGCATGCTCTTGCGTATTGAATCAACTGAGAGATATAAACCCCGTATGCAGGTGATGAAGGTATATTGCTGCATAAGTAAGGGAAGTTGACGATTAAAAGTTAAAGTCATCACATTTATCATAAAGCTTGGTTGTTAGATTACCATTAACGTCTTCTTCAAGTAAAATATCCAAATATGAAACAAATGTGTCAGACTTTGTAGTATCTTTTATCTCAAGCTCACCGGGATATATCGTATCGACATAAGAATGGAAATAACCATTGTTAATTGACAATACGTCGTCGATATATCTAAATGTCGAGTTGAAGGCCACAGCAAGTGTTTTCTTCTTTTCACGCATAAGATTTTGGACAAATTCTGCTTCATAAGAATACAAAAAAAGGTCTGCTAATAACGGGCGCAATTGGTACCCATGGGAATTCCACTAGATTGTTGGAAGACCTGGTCTCCAAACACCACATATATACTGTCAATCAGAAACTCAAGCATCTTTTTAATGTCAACTTCAGAGTACTTGTGTGTACAATCAGAATGTTTTTTTAACAAAATAATTTTGCAAATGATCAATGACAAGGTAAGTAAAGGGGGAATTTCGATAAGGCAGCTCAGCGGCCCACTTTTTTTTCATAAAAATAAATTTCAATTAATTTTTTCAAAACTAGTTTAGAATTCAAGATTAATATGTTAACTTTTGTTAGTCATCTTTCAAAAGTTAATGTGAGATGAATTCACACCGTAGCTGATACATACTTAGATGTACCCTCAGATCCGTTAACATTAGGCTTATGGGAAAATATAAGAGGGTGGCATTTATAAATCGATGTTTAGAATATGAAGTGCATGATGGACACTCACCTAAATTTGTTCCGTAATTAGCTATACTCTGCACACTAATTTCTTGAAATATGATGAGTGTCGCATGTGCACTTCATATCCAAAAATTAAAAATTACATAAAATTTGCATATCTAAAATTAGAAGCTCTTGGTTTCTTGATCTGGCTCTGTGTTATTTTTTAAATCAAAGAAGATTCTCGATGATATTAACAGTAGAAAACATTATCGTATCCTTTCTTCATTTCGATACTTTTTTTGTCGCCAACGTATAACGTTAACGTCCCATATTTAGCTCACCTCCTCGAATTTGGGGGGAGCTTTTGTAATACCGTCAGCATCGGTGTTCTAGGTAAAAAAGTTTTTGAAGCAGATTTTTATCTATGCCCTATATTAATCAGAGTCACCTGATCTAGCGTGTTTCCTTGTCACCAGTCAGGTTCAGATGCTGAATTTTTAGCCAAAGAATGACCAGGTAAATGTTTTAAAAGCAGGTTTAAGTTTTTGGAGCAGGGCAGCTGTAAGCACTTGTTGACCAGACTTGCTTCATGATGCATCTATGGATGCACACTACTAGATTGCTTCAGATGCTGGATATGACCTACATTTCCTTAATGAGTGAGCAGGTTAAAGATTTTGAAGCGGGTCTCATTCTTATGTAACTATAAGCCCTATCGTGACCAGACTTGCACTGATGATGCATCTAGGATTGCACACTACCAGACATGGTTCAGATGCTGGATCTTTCTTAAATTTTCCGACTGACTGAATAAAAAATAAGTTTTAGAGCAGGTCCATTCCGTATCGTTATTTATCATGCATAGTTATATTTTTGACTTTTTTGTAAATAGAAATCCACGCTCAAACATGCTAGAGAAGCGCCCATATATTTCCGTGTGGTTGATTTAGGGAACGTGGATTGTTTTAAGTCTGGATGTCTCGGCGCATATGTCTGCCTGATTAAGGATTAAACACATATCTTTGGCGTTTACACATGTACTTCGAACTGCGCTCTGGTCTAACAAATCGTATATAATGAATTTTGAAATTCTCTAAATGAGAAGAGACTAGAGTTGGTGAAGCAACTTAAGTATCTATGGAGAGTTGGGAAGCGAGAGGAAATTAGTCTTGGCTGGGATTCTCTCAGTTATGCTGAAAACATAATGCATCTATATGAGCAAATACTTCTAAGTTTCATAATGGAAAGGAAACACTCAATGTATTATAGATTTTCCATAATTTGGCAATTCACCTATTACGTATCATGATAAAATATTTTTCACTGTAATCAATATTGTTCATATTATCAAATACATTGCAATATACTGAAGCCGGTAGGTGCTAGGTAAAAAAAAAATATATTATCTGGCGGCCGCCAGATAAGTTTCTAGCGCCTGCCATTGAAATATCTCGCGGTCGCCAGATAAAATAGTAATGTTTTTGCCAATCAAGTTGTAGCAGAGATACACAGACCGGGTATTTTTGAACGCGGTGCTTAAAATCTCTGCCTTTAACATGTACAACTTCTGTTTATAGTCAAATCTGTACACTTTATACAAAAATTCACTTCATAAGGTCTTCACCTCATAACTTTAAATTAATGTTATTAGATTACATGTCTACACCGCAAGAAGGCTTCTAGGAATTTACGTGGTTTCTGGTCGCCGCCAGTTATTTATGTGGTGGCCGGAGGAAAAGTATTTGGCAGCCGCCAGATATATATTTTCTATGATATTAAGGTATATTTTTCATGTAGTTGTATAACCTCATTGATGAAAATGTACTGCATATACCTGTATTTGACGTTTATACGTTTACCTAGCTCATGTCTTCATATCTTTTCATTTGCATTTTACGTATGGGAAAATGTTAAATATTGATTATAAAGATTATATATAAACTGTCGAATAATTATGAGGTTAAAACTTTCTATATATATTTACGTTTTCTATATATATTTACGTTTTATGAGTTAAATTCATCCTCTTTTAAAGAAAAGTAACATTTAACACCAGAAAAATATCACACCTTTGAAAAAACATTCGCATAAGTTCAATACCATTTTCCGTAAAAAAAAATTGTTGAAATTGGTTAATTTATGTCTTTATTCATATTTATCCTTTTTTCATTTACGATTCTGAGGGTTAAAAAAATCCACTTTCCCCCTATAAGAATGTCTACTCCAAAAATATACGAAAGGGGGTATATTTAAATTTTCAATTATCACGTGACCGGAAAATGCGTAACATAGATTATTTTCATATTTTTGGAAGATAAGAAGTTTTTCTACAAAATATCAAAATTTCATAAAATTTCGTGAGAGGCCGAAAAACGGCCTTATCGAAACTACTCCCCCTTTACGAGTTCCATTTTTATTGAAAAAGCAGCTGTCAATGATATCAAAAAGCCTGGATTTTAATTTGTCGTTATATAAAGTTCCCCCCGCATATATTAAGTCTGGGGACAATACATATGAAAAAGGTGAAGATAACGAACAGTGATTGCTTTAAAAAATCAATCTTCATGACACATTTTAGCATTCAAAGAACACCTTATCCCGATGTCAAATACAATGTATTGTTGTCGATTTCATGTGGTGACAAACTGGCCCAGTAGTTTTGTAGACAAGATGAGCTGATGGATGAATGAGGTATGCATTGTTTCAGATCTCCAATATCTCAACAAGGAAAAAAACAGATGTTTGGAATATACATCAAATAAAGATATTCTATCCTGAGCGAAGAATAACAAATTAGATATTGGATTTTGACTTAAAATGAAAGTCCAAC